GAACTACCATATGACCCAGCAATCCCACTATGGGGCATATACCCAGAGAAAACCATAATTCAAAAAGACACATGCACCCCAATGTTCATTGCAGCACTCTTTACAATAGCCAGGTCATGGAAGCAACCTAAATGCCCATCAACAGACGAATGGATAAAGAAGATGTGGTACATATATACAATGGAATATTACTCAGCCATAAAAAGGAACAAAACTGGATCATTTGTAGAGACGTGGATGAACCTAGAGACTGTCATGGAGTGAAGTAAGTGAGAAAGAGAAAAACAAATACATATTAACTTATATATGTGGAACCTAGAAACATAGTACAGATTAACGGTTTTGCATGGCAGAAATTGAGACACAGATGTAGCGAACAAACGTATGGACGCCAAGGGGGGAAAGCAGCGGCGGGTGGGGTTGGTGGTGTGATGAATTGGGAGTTTGAGATTGACATGTATACACTGATGTGTATAAAATGGATGACTTGTAAGAACCTGCTGTATAAAAAAAATAAATTAAATAAAATCCAAAAAGAAAAAGAAGCCCTTTTGAGTCCCATAGGAGCCTGCATTTCCACTACTCCATTTGCCCACACTTGAACATGGCTGTTTAATTATGTCTTCCCCACTAGACATAATCTCCATAAAGTCAGAGATCATGTCTATTATGGTTGACTTTGTATATCCTGCTGATGAGTATTGAAGGTCTCAGGCGTTTGTTCCATAAATCTTTACTACAATCCTTTGAGGGAATTAATTATTGCATCTGGTTGTTCTGTCAGTTATTGAGAGAGAGATGTTGGAGTCTCCAATTATGATTCTGGTTTTGTTTATTTTTCCTTTCAGCTCTATCAGTTTTTGCTTCACATTTGTTGTTTCATATGTACACATTTAGGATTGCTATGTCTTCTTGGTATATTGATCCTTTTATCATTATGTAATGTCCCTCTCCGTCCTTGATAATTTTTTTGCTTTGCTCTGTACTTCATGGGATATTAAGATAGACACTCCAACTTTCTTTTGATTAATGTTTGCATTTTATCTTTTCTATCCTTTTTATTTTTAACCAACTTATGTAATTATATTTGAACTTAGTTTATTGTATAGAATATACAGTTGACTCGTTTCCTCCCCACCTACTCTGCCACTCACTGTCTCTAAATTTTCATATTTAGACCATATATATTTAATGTAATTATTGATATTAGGGCTTAGGTTTCTTATTTCATTTTTTGTTTTACGTTTATGTTTGTGGTTTTTTTTTAACATCTTTATTGGGGTATAATTGCTTTACAATGGTGTGTTAGTTTCTACTTTATAACAAAGTGAATCAGTTATACATATACATATGTTCCCATATCTCTTCCCTCTTGCGTCTCCCTCCCTCCCACCCTCCCTATCCCACCCCTCCAGGCGGTCACAAAGCACCGAGCTGATCTCCCTGTGCTATGTGACTGCTTCCCACTAGCTATCTACCTTACGTTTGGTAGTGTATATATGTCCATGCCTCTCTCTTGCTTTGTCACAATTCACCCTTCCTCCTCCCCATATCCTCAAGTCCGTTCTCCAGTAGGTCTGTGTCTTTATTCCTGCCTTACCCCTAGGTTCTTCATGACCTTTTTTTTTCTTAAATTCCATATATATGTGTTAGCATATGGTATTTGTCTTTCTCTTTCTGACTTACTTCACTCTGTATGATAGACTCTAGGTCTATCCATCTCATTACAAACAGCTCAATTTCGTTTCTTTTTATGGCTGAGTAATATTCCATGGTATATATGTGTCACATCTTCTTTAACCATTCATCCGATGGTGGGCACTTAGGTTGTTTCAATCTCTGGGCTATTGTAAATAGAGCTGCAATGAACATTTTGGTACATGACTCCTTTTGAATTTTGGTTTTCTCAGGGTATATGCCCAGTAGTGGGATTGCTGGGTCATATGGTAGTTTTTTAAGGAACCTCCATACTGTTCTCCATAGTGGCTGTACCAATTCACATTCCCACCAGCACTGCAAGAGTGTTCCCTTTTCTCCACACCCTGTCCAGCATCTATTGTTTCTAGATTTTTTTCATGATGGCCATTCTGACTGGTGTGAGATGATATCTCATTGTAGTTTTGATTTGCATTTCCCTAATGATTAATGATGTTGAGCATTCTTTTATGTGTTTGTTGGCAGTCTGTATATCTTCTTTGGAGAAATGTCTATTTAGGTCTTCTGCCCATTTTTGGATTGGGTTTTTTCTTTTTTTGTTATTGAGCTGCATGAGCTGCTTGTAAATTTTGGAAATTAATCCTTTGTCAGTTGCTTCATTTGCAAATATTTTCTCCCATTCTAAGGGTTGTCTTTTGGTCTTGTTTATGGTTTCCTTTGCTGTGCTAAAGCTTTTAAGTTTCATTAGGTCCCATTTGTTTATTTCTGTTTTTATTTCCATTTCTCTAGGAGGTGGGTCAAAAAGGATCTTGCTGGGATTTATGTCATAGAGTGTTCTGCCTATGTTTTTCTCTAAGAGTTTGATAGTTTCTGGCCTTACATTTAGGTCTTTAATCCATTTTGAGCTTATTTTTGTGTATGGTGTTAGGGAGTGATCTAGTCTCATACTTTTACTTGTAGCTGTCCAGTTTTCCCAGCACCACTTATTGAAGAGGCTGTCCTTTGTCCACTGGACATTCCTGCCTCCTTTATCAAAGATAAGGTGACCATATGTGCGTGGGTTTATCTCTGGGCTTTCTATCCTGTTCCATTAATCTATCTTTCTGTTTTTGTGCCAGTACCATACTGTCTTGATTACTGTAGCTTTGTAGTATAGTCTGAAGTCTGGGAGCCTGACTCCTCCAGCTCCGTTTTTCGTTCTCAAGATTGCTTTGGCTATTCAGGGTCTTTTGTGTTTCCATACAAATTGTGAAATTTTTTGTTCTAGTTCTGTGAAAAATGCCAGTGGTAGTTTGATAGGGATTGCATTGATGAAACTGAGGTGAAGAGTTTAAACTGTTCATGATCACATTCCTAGAAAAGTACAGTTGATAAGCAAAATTTCTACTATTAAACATAAATGATTCAGAGATTACTGAATCTCCACTCCACTTCTAGCCACTTAACAAACATAGTTCCTACTCATCAAAGTTCCATCTCAGGGTGAAACCCTCTCCTTTTTGAAAAAATAATTGCTGAAGATTACATTTTTTTACTTATTTCCACTTTTTATTATATAGAAAATATAAACAAAAAAAGAGGGGAGTTCCCTGGTGGTCTAGTGGTTAGGATTTAGTGCTTTCACTGCTGTGGCCCAGGTTCAGTCCCTGGTTGGGGAACTGAGATCTCACAAGCCGCATGGCATGGTCAAAAAACAACAAAAAAACCCACAACAGAATAGTATAATTTCATGGGTCTATCATTTAATCTTAGCAAGTATACATCTCATTTAGCATAGTGTTTTTGAGGTTCATTCATGTTGTATAAAATGCATCAGTAATCCATTACTTTTATTGCTGAATGGTATTGCATTGTATGAATACAAAAAGTTGGTGTCTTCATTCAATAAGGAGATTGAGATTGTTACCAACTAGGCAATAATGAACAATGCTGCTATGAATAGTTGGGTATACATCTTTGCATAGATAAATGTTCTTATTCCCTTGGGTAGATTCCTAGGAAGAAATTGCCAGGTGGTTTTTCAAAGTGGCTATATCATTTAACCTGTAATTTCCAATTGCTGTATGAAAGTTCCAATTTCTCCACACTCTTCCGCATCTTCATTTATATATCTTCTTTGGTGAAAAGCTTACTCAAATCTATTAATTAGGTTTAAAGGATTTTAATTGGAATATATGTCTTCTTATTTTTGAGATACAAGAGTTTATTATCTATTCCAGATGCAAATCCTTTCAGATATATGATGTTTTCCTTCTGCCTGAAGGATGATCTTTAACATATCCTATAGTGCAAGTCTGCTGATAATGGATTATTTCAACTTTTGTACGTCTAAAAGCATCTTTTCACAGATGACTTTTTGCTGAATGGTCTGATGAACTTTCCAGTGTATACCTGTTGATGTTTGGGGGGTTTTCATCTTCTTAAGCCCTGATGATTCCTTGCTGTCTTCCTTCTGCAATCTTTGTGCACAGATAAGTGGGAAGCCACAGACAATCAGCAGCTTCAAGATCCATTTGATAAACACAAGAAAGGAAGTGTCAGAACAGTCTGGTTCTTACACCAAGATATAGGCATAAATCTTTGAGGCAAAAAATTGTTATAGCCTTACTAAAAGGGATCATATTACAAATAAACACAAAAGCAAGCTGATAATAATTTAAGAGTATGTAAAAAGGTAAATACATACACAAAGATTAGTCTTTTCCTTTTTTATCACCTGTGAGCTTTTTATTTAATTTACTTTTATATGTTGTGTTTAATACACAAATAGATAATAAATTTAAAGCCTTTACCTTTATTTTTAATACATAATTAAATCAGACATTGTATATATCACATAGGATTTAACATCTTAACTTGTAACATCTTTCTGCTAAACAGACAATATACAATCCAATGAGATAGTTACATTCTTTTTAATTTAATTTTTATTTTATTTTGGCCTCACTGTGCCGCATGCAGGATCTTAGTTCCCTGACCAGGAATTGAACCTGTGCTGTGCCACCTACAGTGGAAGCGTGAAGTCTCAACCACTGGACCACAAGGGAAGTCCCAACATTCTTTGGTTCATATCAAGACTTTGAAATCCAGTGAAAAATTTACACTTACCAACGTATCTCAATGTAAATGCTAAATTTTCATCAGAAATACTTACTCTGCATTTAGATTTCATAAAATTTACAGTTGAAAGAGTAGATTCACATATGCAAGTTGTTCTAAGCATATTAAAAAGCTTCCCAATAACTGGATTGAAAACCAGTGTTTAAAGTTAAATTAATTAAAATTCAATAAAATTAAAAATTCAGTACTTGCTGGAACCAGTCACATTTTTGTGTTTGACAGCCATGTTGGGTAGTGGCTACTACACTACACAGAAGAGCTCTAGAGAGTAATTGGGTGGCTGGGGAACAAGGATGGTTTCAAATTTGTACTATTTCCATACATGACAACACAAATACATGAATAAAACATTGTCTTGTTTTAAAGCAATACGGTAACTAGTAAGTTGTAGAGATCGCAAATGCACCCCTACAGGATGAATGTGGGGGCAAAAGAGTTATCTTAATATTATACAAGTTTCTTGAAACTTAACACAAAATTCCTAGTAACAGCATTTCATAAACGTATTCCGAAAGTGCTGTATCACAAAAAACTTATTTCAAAGTAAAGATCATATGCCTAGTAAAACTACAATATTTAATTAAAAGAATAGGATCAGGGGACTTCCCTGGCTATCCAGTGGTTAAGAATCCGTGCTTCCACTGCAGGGGGCAAGGGTTCGACCCCTGGTCGGGGAACTAAGATCCCGAATGCTGCGTGGCATGGCCAAAAAAAGAAAAAAAGAAGAGGATCAGAGTGTTGATGAAGATATGGCTATTTAAGGTAAATGCAAACAGAATAGAATACTTTTGTAAAATGTGAGTAGAAAAAAATCAATTATAAATTAATATTTTATATATTTGATTTCAAATATATATGAACTTCAAAAATAAATTAGACACTATAAGTTTAGGAATATGTACATTTAAATATGTGATTATATTAAATATATGTGTAAAAGTTATTTCTGTGTGTGTTCATAAGTAGCATTAGTTTTATAGTTTTGTTGGTAGTGTATATTCTTGTCTGGTTTTAGTGTTGGTGTTAGGAACTTCAAATACAGAAGTGAGGACCAAGTGAAGACTCTTCTTCCTTATACTGAAATGGGCATATAGCAGGAGAATTAGCACAACATTGCCTTGAATTCTATAACTTACTTGTTCTTTTAATGGTTATTAGTCCATTCAGTGTCTGCAGTTCTTTTTCAGCAAATTTTGGAAATTGTATTTTCTTAGAAAATTTCCTTTTTCTCTCCATTGCCATTTTTTAAAATATTCCATAATTTTTCAATTGTCTCCACATATTTAGTTATGTCTCATTTCTTATGAACCTTTTCTCAGAAGAGCAAATAGAGGTTCAGAAAGCCTGGAGAAGAAAAAACCCATTTTCTAGATGAGATAGACTAGGTTCCCGAATAAATAAATGAGAAGAGGAAACCCATTTTGAAGAGTGTGTTATATATTCAGGCACAGGGACATGAGGTTTTTTCCCAGTTTCTAAAAGAAACAAAATATGGAAAAGAAGACAAGGGAAACCACTGTCCACTCTCCTGAGGTTAGGCAGGGTAGACAGACTGGGTACAGAGAAAATTGAAGAGGTAACATTTCCTAGCAGGGACAAACTAAATTTCAGAAAACAGAGGACAGAGTGCTGTTACACAGGGCTCAGCCTCCTAGAGTCAAGACCTGGGATCTTTAGCTCCTAGATTCCAAGCCTGGTTGGGGGGAAGACATGGGAAATTCACAGTTGTGGTATTTTGGGGATCTGAGTGGGAAGGGGATTGTGTTAGTGTAACCACCTCCTCTCCATCTCTGCTCTACAGCAAAATGGAAGAAGCCTCATGAACGCACCTCATTCACACACACACAGCATGAAGAGTTGGAGGCTCTGTTTAGCTGCAATATGTTTCCAGATAAAAACCTCCAGAAAGAACTTGCTTTAAAATTCAACCTACCAGCGTCAACAATAAAGGTCTGTCTGATCCTCTGAGGTATGCTTTGAGCCCCCATCCAAATTACATTCTACTATTCAGCCTGGAAATTCCCTCTGTAACACAATGAAGAAGTAACATTGTTACTTCATTGTAACACAATGAAGTAGTAACACTTCATTTATTGAGTACCTACTGTGTGCTAGTACTGAGCTGGGCACATTGTATATGGCGGCTTTATTATCATCCAGTTTAAAGGATGTGGAAAAGTGAGTTTCGGGAGCCAAGTGACTGGTTCAGGGAGATAATATATAGTATAACTGGAATTAGAACTCCAGAGGTACGAAAGAGCTCAAATTAGAGAAATGACTCTCATCCCGACAGACTTATTACTTAGGAACTTCTCTAGCAAAACTCTGCAATCATTTATTCACAACATTATCAACAGACAAGTAACTTCTCCAACATCTGAGTCTGCTAAGGCCCCAAATTTTTGTTAGAATATTGCTCACTGAAGAGGCCTTCTAAAATAATCCTTGAAAATCCCTTAGTTCAAATTCTCCACCTCTCCCTACATCCCTGAACTTCCTTCTCTTCTCTAGAGTTCAGGACCCTTTCTCTGAACCCCAGCACAACTTCTGAGACATACCCTCCTTTTTTTTCTTTCTTTTTCCTCTGGGGCCCAACCTTGATCCCTCATTGTTCCTATTGACTCCATTCATACCTACCTCTGCTCTCACAGAACTCAGTATCATAGTGATTTGGAGAGGACATGAGGGTTATAATCTGACTTTTTTCACCCAGGAGAAGCCTCAAACTCCTTCTCCAGTAGCAGACCATAATCTCCTCTCTTCCCCCACTCCCAGATTTGGTTCAGGAATCAGCAGTTCAAAAAGAGGAAGTAGCAGTGGCAACAAGAGCAGCAATCACTAAAGCCACCGAACCAGGTCCTTCCAGCCAAGAATGTGCCCACAGCATCAACCAGTCCTCATTCTTTTCTCCCTGCAGTTTCAGATTCTTAAAGCTCCCACTCACCTCAGCCCTTAGACCCTTTCCATTGGGCAGGGGACTCTATAATCACTGAGATTGCTACAAGTGATGTCCAAATGCAAGATCCTCCGTTGGAGAGGCTAGTGGCCTCAGTTCCTGCTTTGTACTCTGATGCCTATGACATAGCACAAATCATGGAACTGTACAGCTTTCTTGATGAGGATGAGATAGCCAGCTCTTCTTTCCATTCTCTGTATCATTATCTCTCACCGACAAAGCCCAGTTAGAATAGAGTTCCTTTCTTAGCCTCTTTGCTGATCCAGCTGTAGGTTTATCTCCTGGGCAAACCTGCTTCAGTATGACAAGCTGGAGCTTTGCAGCCTACAGTCTAAGAAACAGCCTGGAATTCCAGAACCCCTTCAGTATGGCACACTTTGGATGTTGCTGATCAAAGTACTAATAAATATCAGACAGTATTGAAAAAGGATCTTCTTGCATCTTGTACATGCTCTTTCCTTTGCCTGCTTTTAACCCAAATATCTGGCTCAGTGTTACTTGGATTTCCATGGAAATGTTGTAAAAACTAGGAGTTTCCTGCAAGTATAGCTCAGTACTACACAATCAGCCCCACAACTCTCCCTGGAGAGGCCTTCCTAGTCCCTTTGATGGCCAATGAGACTGCAAAATTCCCTCTTCCCAAAACTATCTTTGACTTTTTAAAAGGTCAGTAGCATTTAGGGGTCATCCACTTTTAATGTCAGCAGGTTTATAAACTTACATTTTCAACAGACTTTTAGAATGACAGTTAAGCTAATTTTCCAGCTATGTGATTAATGAACAAAATTAATGGCACTTCTCAAAAGCAATAATAAACACATAATAAGATAAGTACCTCTCAGTGAAAAATGTAAAGTACCTAGGAATTAACTAAGAAAATTAAGACCTCTGTACAGAAAAGTTTAAAACTTAATAATGGACATTGGAAATGTTTGAATAAAAGACATTTGAAGCCATAAAATAATCAATTTAACAGCGTTAAAATCACATAAATCATGTTCTCCAAACACAATGGAATGAAAATAGAAATCAATAGTAGAAGAAAATTCACAAATATATGGATATTAAAAAGCACACTCCTAAATAACCAATAAAGAAGAAATCAGAAGGAAAATTAGGAAATATGTGAAGATGAATGAAAACAAAAACACAATATACCAAAACTTATGGGATGAGGCTAAATCAGTGCTTAGAAAGAAACCTATAGCTGAAAAAGCCTATAGTTAAAGAATAAGCTCTCAAATCAACCTTTTTTTTTAAATAGAAGGGAAGCTGGCATAGTTATATTAATATCTATCAAATTAAACTTTAAGGCAAAACATTTTGTTGGAAGTAAAAGTATATTAGACACGGATAAAGGGAACATTTAACCTGAAAGATATAATAATTCTGAATTTGTATACATTTAACATATTCCCAAAATATATGAAGTAAAAATTAACAAAACTCTTGGGGAAACTTAACAAATACATAATCATAATAGATGATTTTATCCATAGGTCAAATGAATAAAAATTTTGTATGGGTAGAGATTTTAACTGTACAGTTAATAGGCTTGATTTAATGAAAGTATGTAGATTTCTGCATTCAGCTGGTAGAGAATACACATTCTTTTCAAGTACCTAATGACTACATATTAGACCACGAAGCAAATCTTAACAAACTCAATAACATACAAACAGCATTCTTTGATCATAAGGCAATTTAATTAGAAGAAACTCCAACCTCTCTCTCCATTTAGAAAGTAAAAAGGACATTTCTAAGTGATTAATCGAGCATGGGAGAAATTAGGTGAATAATCTGGTAGCATACACTATATAATAACAAAAACTGTATCAGCATTCACTGGGGGAAAGTAATAGAGATAGTAGCAGTAGCAGGTTTGAATGTCTTGTTACCCATCACATTCTGGGTCATCAGAGAGGGATCTTGAAGGGCAAGACTGCAGACCTAGGGTAGAGACATTGGCCCTTAGGTTGTGAGGTTTTTTGCTTACTGGTTTTTTTTAAATTATGTTTTATTTTTTTAATAGTCTTTATTTTTAGAGCAGTTTTCATTTCACAGCAAAATGAGCAGAAGGTACAGAGATTTCCCATATAGCCCCTGCTCCCACATACACACAGCCTTCCCCACTATCAACAACCCACACCAGAATGGTCCATTTGTTATAACTGATGAACCTACACTGATACATCTTTATCACTTAAAGTCCATAGTTTACATTAGAGTTAGCTCTCAGCGTTGTACATTATATGGATTTTGACAAATAGGTAATTGTCATGTGTCCACCATTATAGTATCATATAGGATAGTTTCACTGCCCTAAAAATCCTCTGTCCTATTTGCTCCACCTATCCATCCCTTCCTCTCCCCTAATCTCTGGCAACCACTGATCCTTGTCTCCATAGTTTTGCTTTCAAATTAATAACTTTTCACCTTAAGAAACTAGAAAAAGAAGAGCAAAATAAATCCAAAGCAAGCAGAAGTAAGGAAATAAAGGCTAAAGTGGAAATAAATGAAATAGAGAATAGAAAAGCAATAGAGCAAACCAATGAAATCAAAGCAAGCTAGATAGAAGAAGAAGAAGAAGAAGAAGGAGAAGGAGAAGGAGAAGAAGAAGAAGAAGAAGAAGAAGAAAAAGAGGGAGAAGAGAAAGAAGAAGATGAAGGGGAGGAGAAGGGGAGGGGAGGAGGAGGAAGGGGAGGAGGGGGACAAGGGAGAAGAAGAAGAAGAATCAAATTACTAGAATCAGAAATGGGATGTAACTACCAACCTTACAGAAATAAAAAGCATTATAAATAAATATTATGAACATTTGTGTTACTTTATAATTTGTATAACAAATTAGATAACTTAGATGAAATGGGCAAATTCCTAGGAAGACACAAAATACCAAATCTGACTCAACAAGAAATAGAAATGCTGCAAATAGACCTTTAACAAGTAAAGAGATTGAGTTAGTAATTAAAAACTTTCCACAAAGAAAAGTCCAGGCCCAGGTGGCATCATTGCTAAATTCTACTAAATGTTTAAAGAATTAACAATCCTTTACAAATTCGTCTAAAAAACAAGAGAACACTTCCTAACTCATTTTGAGACCAGTATTATCCTGATACCAAAACTGGACAGCTATATGTATACAATGAGATTAATACATTCCCTCACACCACATACAAAGATAGACTCAAAATGCTTTAAAGACCTAAATGTAAAACACGAAACCATAAAACTCCTAGAAGCAAACATAGGCAAAACACTCTTTGACATAAATCATAGCAATATTTTCTTGGATCAGTCCTAAGGCAAAAGAAAAAAGAGCAAAAATAAACATATGGGACCTAATTAAATTTAAAAGCTGCTGCACAGCAGAAGAAACCATAAACAAAACAAAAAGACAATCTATGGAATGGGAGAAAATATTTGCAAATGATGTGACCAAAAAGGTGTTAATATCCAAAATATACAAACAGCTTATACAACTCAATATCAAAAAAACAAGCAACCCTGCTGAAAACTGGTCAGAAGACCTGGATAGACATTTCTCCAAAGAAGACATACAGCTGACTAACAGGCACATGAAAAGATGTTCAACACTGCTAACTATCAGAGAAATGCAAATCAAAACCACAATGAGATATCACCTCACACCTGGCAGAATGACTATCATCAAAAGTCTACAAATAACAAAGGTTGGAGAGGATGTGGGGAAAAGTGAACCCTTGAACACTGTCGGTGGTAATGTAAATTGGTGCAGCCACTATGGAAAACAATATGGAGGTTCCTCAAAAAACTAAAAATAGAACTACCATACTATCCAGCAATTCTACTCCTGGGTACATATCTGGAAAAAACAAAAACACTAATTTGAAAAGATACATGCACTCCAATGTTCATAGCAGCACTATTTACAATAGCCAAGACGTGCAAGCAACCCAAGTGCCCATCAACAGACAACTGCCTTAAGAAGATGTGGTATATATATACACAATGGAATATTACTCAGCCATAACAAAAAATGAAATACTGCCATTTGCAGCAACATGAATGGACATAGAGATTACCATACTAAGTGAAGTCAGAAGAGAAAGACAAATACCATATGATATCACTTATATGTGAAATATAACATAAACGAACATAGCTAGAAAACAAGTTAGATCCTAGAGAAATGGAAATAAAAACAAAAATAAACAAATGGGACCTAATGAAACTTAAAAGCTTTTGCACAGCAAAGGAAACCATAAACGAGACCAAAAGACAATCCTCAGAATGGGAGAAAATATTTGCAAATGAAGCAACTGACAAAGGATTAATCTCCAAAATTTACAAGCAGCTCATGCAGCTCAATATCAAAAAGCAAACAACCCAATCCAGAAATGAGCAGAAGACCTAAATAGACATTTCTCCAAAGAAGACATACAGATTGCCAACAAACACATGAAAGGATGCTCAACATCACTGATCATTAGAGAAATGCAAATCAAAACTACAATGAGGTATCACCTCGCACCAGTCAGAATGGCCATCATCAGAAAGTCTACAAATAATAAATACTGAAGAGGGTGTGGAGAAAAGGAAACCCTCTTGCACTGTTGGTGGGAATGTGAATTGGTACAGCCACTATGGAAAACAGTATGGAGTTTTCTTAAAAAACTAAAAATAGAACTACCATACGACCCAGCAATCCCACTACTGGGCATATACCCTGAGAAAACCATAATTCAAAAACAGTCATGTATCAAAATGTTCATTGCAGCTCTACTTACAATAGCCAGGACATGGAAGCAACCTAAGTGTCCATCAACAGATGAGTGGATAAAGAAGATGTGGCACATATATACAATGGAATATTACTCAGCCATAAAAAGAAATGAAATTGAGTTATTTGTAGTGAGGTGGTTGGACCTAGAGTCTGTCATACAGAGTGAAGTAAGTCAGAAAGAGAAAAACAAATACCGTATGCTAACACATATATATGGAATCTAAGAAAAAGAAAAAGAAAAAGGTCATGAAGAACCTAGGGGCAAGATGGGAATAAAGACACAGAGTAACTAGAGAATGGAATTGAGGATATGGGGAGGGGGAAGTGTAAGCTGTGACAAAGTGAGAGAGTAGTATATGGACATATATACACTACTAAATGTAAAATAGATAGCTAGTGGGAAGCAGCCGCATAGCACAGGGAGATCAGCTCGGTGGTTTGTGACCACCTAGAGGGGTAGGATAGGGAGGGTGGGAGGGAGGGAGACACAAGAGGGAAGAGATATGGGAACATATGTATATGTATAACTGATTCACTTTGTTATAAAGCAGAAACTAGCACACCATTGTAAAGCAATTATACTCCAATAAAGATGTTAAAGAAAAAAAGAAAACAAGTTAGAGATGACCACTCACTACTTTTTTTTTAAATTAATTACTTTATTTATTTGTTTATATTTAGCTGCATTGGGTCTTTGTTGCTGCACGCGGGCTTTCTCTAGTTGCAGCGAGCAGGGGCTACTCTTCGTTGTGGTGCACAGGCTTCTCATTGCGGTGGCTTCTCTTTTTGCAGGGCTCGGGCCCTAGGCGCGTGGGCTTCAGTAGTTGTGGCAAGTGGGCTCAATAGTTGTGGCTCGCGGGCTCTAGAGTGCAGGCTCGGTAGTTGTGGTGCATGGTCTTAGTTGCTCCGCGGCATGTCGGATCTTCCCGGAACAGGGCTCGAACCCATGTCCCCTGCATTGGCAGGTGGATTCTCAACCACGGCGCCACCACGGAAGTCCCAACCACTCACTACGTTTTTCAATGTAGTGCTGGAAGATCTAGGCGAACAATTTACTTTCTATTCTCCGTCTTCTCATCTGTAAAATGAGAGAGTTGGACTAAGTGATAGCTAAGCCTCCTACCACCTCTAATTTTCTCAGACTGGACTTATTCTATGCCTGATTTCTGAATTACAAAATCTTCCTTTCCCAACCATCCGGGAAAGAAGAGGGCCAGGAGAGGACAGCCACTTGTCACGACAAGAAATAGGAGAAACAGGACCACATGTCACTTACACAAGTTGCTGCCTCAGCCAATGATAGGTTTAGGTGAAAAGCACGGTTATAATTAGAGCAGCAGCCTGTCCTGACTGCTCCACCAGCCACTGTGGGCACAGCTGGATCTGCCAACCACATGCACAGGACTCTGAGAGGCTGCTCGGGCCTTGAAATGATCCTTCTTACAAGGATTTTCCTTCTTCCTCAAGGGAAAGAAAACCCATTGATATAAAACCCCACTTGCCTTCAGGCTTCCCCTGCTAACTGCCACTCCAACAGAGACGGAGTGTGGACAAATACAGGAGAAAGAAAAAATCGTAAGCTGAGCCTGGTCACATTGCCCCTTGTGATATAGTTTTATTTTTAACTTCAAAACACTTGAACTATTTCTGTTGAAGGTTTTTTCTCCTTTCCCTACCTCCTCGACGAAACCGTCCTCTGCTGCAGCCAATGCACGCCGAGCCACCTCCGGCAGTCTACTTGCTCACCATCAAGGGACACAGTCAGCAGATGCTGACCCAGCCCATGCCATTAAGGTAAGCTTTTCAAACGTGGGCAGGTTCATCAAGGGGAAATTTAGAGTGGTGAACATGGAGGCAGAGGCTGACTGAGCGGCATATCACCTTTTTGCTCTGAGTAAGAGGGTTGTTAAGCAAATTAAGTTACATACGGGGGTGAAAAGGTTAGCGCTGAGAATGAGACACAGCCATAGGTAAACTCCTGCTTTGAATCTAAAATCTTAGAGCAGGAAGAGATGACCTGCTTTCTAACAGCTTAGGCTCTTTCTTCTAAAATCAACCATAGTGATAGCACATACTGGTTATGTGCTATCTCTAAGGTTACACAGTATTGATGGGGGTTCAGGGTGGCAGGGGAGGGAGGAGGTGGTGAGGAAATAGGTGGAAGGCCCAGAACCCAGGATTTCTGTTTTCTGAAGTCCAAATGTTGTGATCTTTCCCCAATCAGCATTTTCTATGTTAACTGCAAGTCATTCTCGTGTACTTTAAATTCCATCACCTGTGTCACTCTACCAGTTAATTTAGCACAGTTGTATTTACTGCGTATATTATTTAAATTCTGCCTGCAGAGTTTAAGACCTGTTTTTCTTTAACAATATTCCCTAAACATGACTCACGCCTCCCCAGCTCTCTTGAATCCAAATGCATCTATGGAATAGAAGTGAAAGTATTTTACAAGTTGAAAAATGGTATATACATGCAAACCAAAAATTATCACAAATTTGAAACTTGCAAATACAGGGGGACAAAAGTAAAATGATTAATGATACTTGAGGAGTCAAACACTTTAAAGTGTAGATAGGTTATTTCTAGCTTTGGGAATAACAGCATAGTGTTGCATGCACAAACAAATTGGCAGGGATAAGGGAGCAGTGTTTCTTTTCCTGTTTTCCTCTGGACCTCGCTTTAGTGTTATACAGTTAAAAGTTCAGCTAAGGACATCCTAGGAAGTGGCCTGTGCAGCAAAAGGGATTCTGTACACTCTGAACTTTGCACTGTACAGGCTAAAGCCACCAATGTCAAGTAAAAGAAGACCTACCACCAGACACCTTAACTCCTGTTTCCTTCTTGCCTGCCTCTGTAACCTCCAGATGCATCCCATAACTCTGCTATAGGTGTCTGGGTTATAATTAGGCCTGTTTGCTAGGCACAATCAAATGCACTGTGTATAATTGCATAACTTCATTTAATTTTGTCAGAGTTTCCATGGCACAAAGGTCTTCAAGGGGTATACCGGGTACTTTCCTAGCAAGGTGGGCATGTTAGCTTAGCAGTAACCAACCAGACCAGCTGACTCAGAGCTACTCCTAAATAATCCATCTAGTTTGCACTTTCTTGGCCAATACAAAACAGTGATTTAAAATACTGAAACTAATAATGTAAGTACAAGATGTGAGAATTAACTAGCTAATTAAATAACTAGAAAGTTTAAAGGTAGAGAGATTTCTAGTGTAGGTACAGAACTGCAGCTGGTGAGGCTGAATAGATTTGAGGGAGGATGATTTTTAGGGTATAGTGAAAAGGCTGAAATCATAGCCTGAAAGCCCAGGATTATGCGACCAGATGTGGGAACTATCCTCGGCCAACTGGTTGTGTTAAAATCTCAAGATGCAAAGGGATTACTTTAATATTTAACTTTATACATTTTCTTTCCATAGAATTAAGTATCTCCATAGCAGGGAAACAGATTAATGATGTATAATTAAAGTAACAGATTAATTGGCTGGTTAATAGGTTAACAGTTAATCTCTGTCCTTTAACTCTTGACCTTGTCACTTCCACTAAAGTTAAAGCTCAGGAATAAATAATTATGGCCAGGGCTAGCCACATGAGGAGGCAAAATAGTCACTGCATCATGTGAGGGGTGCTGGGAGGGCCCCTTGCCTAAAAATATCTCCCTGACACCAACCCTGATTGCCTACTAGCTTTATAGTGAAGAATGTTAAAACTATTTTCTGTTAATTGCATTCTCTTTTGCTTGAGTCAGTGATTTAAATATACCTGCTTTATGCCTTCTCATGACCTTGTTGGCCAGTGACACTTGGTCACCACCTCTTCCTCATTCTTCCAGGCCTTGTCCTGCTTTGCCCTTGGTACCATCTAAGCTGCCCGTATGCCCTGGGCCGTCGTCATGCAGGTAGCTCTGTGTGGCACTGTGGTTTCTACAGAATTTCTCAGTAAACTATCAAGGTGAAGTAGAAAAAAGAAAAGCATGTGAGTAGCGTCAGAGACTGTGGGAGCATAAGCAAGACACATCACTTCTCTGGGCCTCAGTTTCTCTTGTGAAAAATGAAGAGTTTAACCTAGACTCTTTCCTAGACCATTTGTTCTACCAGATCAGAAGCTGCATTTCAAAAAAGATTGCCCAGGTGATTCCTATGCACACTGAAGTTTGAGAAGCTCCAGAGCAGAGGATTTCTGGTTATCTACCTGAGCCAGATTCCTGATTCTATGACTGTAAGTGTTGAGAACAAGTTGTAACCTCCTACAAACAATTCTGGCAGCATTCAGAGTATCTGTTATAACTGGAGTCCACTGAGTCTTTTCCATTCAGTTAAGGCAACATTAACCAAATAAAGTTGAAAACATTTATTTTTCTTCCTTTAAAACAAAACAACAACAACAAAAAAACACAAATCAGCATATATCTGACATCATTACCCCTTCCTCCTAAAGGTCTCAAATTGCTCTCACAGGTGTTTCAAATGCTGCCTTCTTCAGGGTCCTGTTCAACTCCATCCAATCCAATCCTTCACTGAAGGCTGATGGAGGGCTGGGAGCCCTGTTAGCTGTACTCTCTCTCAGGGCCTCAGAAATCACTCCTGTACCCCTCCTGGGGCATTCCCACCCTCTGCTGATATTCCAGTCAGAGCTCCTTTCACAGCCTACACGCATTCCATGGGTCCCAGCACTTCTGTTCCGTTTATGCCCTTCATCAGGTCGTTCACCACTCACACCATCACAGCAACTTCCCTCGGGTTGTACCAACACCCGGAGTCAGTCGCGAGAGGAGACAAGTCTCAATTGAAACCTTCCTTTTTATTTATTTATTTATTTAATAAATAAATTTATTTACTTTTGGCTGTGTTGGGTCTTCATTGCTGCTGGCAGGCTTTCTCTAGCTGCGGCGAGCAGGGGCTACTCTTCGTTGCGGTGCGCGGGCTTCTCATTGCGGTGGCTTCTCTTGTTGCAGAGCACAGGCTCTAGTCACGCAGGCTTCAGTAGTTGTGGCTCGTGAGCCCTAGAGCACAGGCTCAGTAGTTGTGGTGCACGGGCTTAGTCGCTCTGCGGCATGTGGGATCTTCCTGCACCAGGGCTCAAACCCGTGTCCACTGCATTGGCAGGAGGATTCTTAACCACTGTGCCACCAGGGAAGTCCCTATAGTGCAGATTTTTAACCTTAAAAATCTTCCCTGCCACATCTGTATTCCCTGAAATGCAAAGGCATGGAACCTGCGCAGTCTTCTTGTTTCCTCTATTCAGAAGGGCACAGTATGGGTTGTAGTCCAGAGGAGGACCAAAAAAGAAAAAAAAATCATCATAGGCATGGAGGATCTTCCTAATGTGAAGCATCCAGCTTCTCTACAATTTGGAAAGATTATACAGGTAGACACCTTTCTGTGCCCCAACTGGGGGAAAAAAAGGCTTTTCCCTTACAGACTCCAGCCATGGGCTTGCATTCTCCCCAAATCATGGAGATGGACCACAAATGTCTCTATGGGTCTCTGATGGACACAGTGTGATGTAGCAGACAGTAGAGTTTGAAGCCAGACAAACTTAGGCTTCTTTGTGCCTCAGTGTCCTTATCAGTAAACTGGAGATGGTAATACCCACCTCTCATTATTATTGTGAGGATTAAATGAGATGTTATGTAAATGCACATGTTAAGCACTAATATTTTATTTCTCTTTCACTATGACATCCAAAATGGAGAAATCACTCCATCTTGGAAACTCAGACAGACCCCATGGAGGATAAGAATCCAGTCACTGCACAGGAACAGAAATTGGGAGAACAGGGCATCTCATGTCACAAGACAACCAATGATAAATCTAATTTGATTAAATTGAGGCAACACCAGCTGACTCCAACTTAAGGTGACCAATCAGCTGTCTAAGTTTGCCTGGGAATAAGAGGTTTCCTGGGACCTGGGACTTTCAGTGCTCAAACCAGGAGAGACCGAGGCAAACCAGGATGATTGGTTACCCTGTTTCTCCAGCAATAATTAGACTATCAACAATTTTGGATTGTCCTTTATCTCTGTGGGAAAGATTTCCCCCAGATATACAACAAAAGGTTCAGATGTGATTTTTTTATGCCCTTAGGCTATATTTGTCTTTCTCCTTTCCTCCACTGACAAATGTCTCCAAAAAGTCATCTCCACTCAGTGTCTTTCTGCTCAGCACATGCCTTCTCTCAAAGTCACTCATCTGGGGTAGCTCCAGAGCCTGGCAGAAGATCCTTAAATAGCAACATAAAGCAACAGTATCCTTGTTGCCTGCCTTCATTGCTTTTCTTTTCTCTTAAAGGAGTATTTTCAAATAACCTCAAAGAGATGGAGAGCAATAAGACTCCACCACAAATGTTCCCAGCTTCAATAACGCTGTTGCTAAGAACCATCTTTATAATGCTGAAGGATAAGAAATGATTGGCAACAAGGACCTACTGTGTACCACAGGGAATTATACTCAGTATTTTGTAATAACCTATAAGGGAAAATAATCTTAAAAAATTGATATAGGTGTATATATAACTGAATCACTTTGCTGTACACCTGAAACTAACACAACATTGTAAATCAACTATTCTTCAATTAAAAAAAGAAGAAGGAGAAGAAGGAGAAGGAGAGGAAGAGGAAGAGGAAGAAGGGGGAGAAAAAGAAATGATTGGGCTTAGAGTTCATCACTATTGTCCCTCCAGCCAGACACGTGCCTGCTGATAGGGGCAGAGTTCTCACTACATACATTGAGTGCACAGAACTAGCCAGAGCTGCTTTGCCCTTGCTGGAAACTGGGCTCAACTTTGTGACACAACCCGGTTGGCAAATACGAAGTTGGATATTCCTGGTGCTATTAGCTTTTTTCACATAACCTTACTCCATTTGTGATCTGCCTCTTCTTCCCCATCTAGAAACCAACAGGGGACCCTGAGTCATTCAGAGTCCATTCTTGATGAATGTCTATTATGAATAGAAAGCAGATGATCACGTTCTCCCAGCCAGGGCACAGGCCCTGCCAACATTGGAGTGTGTGCTTAATAGCTTTCTCCTCTACTCCAAACAAATGCTAGATTTTGAATGGCCAAGGGTCCCACCTCACAGATGAAATGCAAATGCTCTGGCAAGGGCTCTTTGGGGACCTGCCATGAGCAGTGGCATTGTCATCCCTGTTCTTAACCTCACAGCAGCATTGGAGGCCATCACTCACCCTTTCCTTTACATCTAGCAACAATAGTCCTGACTCTCTTAGCTCACTGGTCTCTCCTTCTCTGGCTCTGCTGCTTCTTATTGTCCCGAAAGTGGTCATACTTAGCCTTGTACTTCATGGCTCAGATTTCTATTCTGTGTTCTCACTTCCCCAGTTATGGCTTCCTCTTACTTTTAAGTGGATAATTCTCAAGTCTGAATCTCTATATTCTAACCCCTCATCTTCCCACCCACATGATCTGTCATCACCTAAAGCAACTTGTATTACACTCGCTGGACCCATTTTTCTTCCCAAAACAGTTCCCTTCTTAGACCTCTATTTTTCTCAGAATTACACCCAACATTCTCTCTTCTTAGTTCACCTTCTTGGCATCACCTTTGACTCTTCTTCTTCCCCCATCTCCAGCCAGAAGCAAAAATGTTAGTTGATCCTCCCTTGTAATGTCTCCTGTCTGTCTCATCTTGCCTGTTTCTATTGTCATCAGTCTCACAATCTCAGCCTCCGTCATGTTCTCTACATAGCAGTTTCTAACGCTAGGTCTTTCCACTCCATTCTTCCACTACTACTGGTTAACACCCCAATTACAATGGTAAATGGTTCCTTACTGAGTACCAAATAATTCTAGATGCTTGAGCCTAATATTTATGAATTTCTATAAGTCCATAATGGGCTTTTCCCCCCCAGGAGTGATCTGGAATATGGCAGGAGCCTACCTGAATGTTCAATTGTATGTTAAAAGATCAAGTAGCTAGACTCTTGCATCCAAAAGATGTGCTCTTTGCCTGATCCTATTCTGCTCCATCTCAGTCCTACCCTCACAGCTTTTCCACTCTGCTCAGCTCCCTCTCTGTCTGATTAATCTTCTAGTTAACCCTGAAGCTACTGATGGTCAGGCTGACTATTAGGGTATGAGGTATCCCTCTATAGCCTAAGAGGGATTCTGGCGTGATCCCTCTTCCACACTTATAGTGCATGAGTCAGATGGGGAATGTGTTAAGAATGTAAATTCCAGGATACACCCTTCGCTCAGGTCAGGGGTGCAGCCAGCATCTATAGCAGTGTTGTCCAATAGAGTAGCTACTGAACACTTGAAGTGTAGCTAATATGACTTGAGGAACTGAATTATTAATTCTAGTTCATTTTGATTAATTTAAATAGCCACATGTGGCTACCATATTGAACAGTGGGGATCTATACATTTAACAAGAATCACAGCTGATTCTAATGAACAATAGTGTTTAAAGCCACTTTAACAAGCAGTCCGGGTGACCCTTATGCTCACTTACTGGTACATAGTAGGTAATCAAAAATGTTTGTTGAATGAATGGATGAACAAATGAATACATGAATGAACTAGCATACAATTTCCTTGAGATTTAAGGCTGTCTCTTCTAAAAAAGAAAAGTTGAGGGGGATTTTCCAGAGGAAAAGAGGCTAAAAAGATTTAACACGCAAATGTAATAAATTAACCTTAAAGGGATCCTCAGTTCAAAACTGAGTTGTTTTTTAAAAAGTACGGAAGATATTTTGGAGATAATTGGGAAAATTTGAATATAGACAGCATGTTACATGATATTAGAAAATTATTTTTAGTTTTCTTAGGTGAGATAATGTTACTGTAGTTACAAAAAAATGTCTTTATTCTTAGAAAATACATGCTGAAGTACTTACAGATGAAGTGTCATGACATCAGCAACTTATCTTCAAGTGGTTTGGCAAAAAATGTGTGTGTGTGTTGAGAGAGAGAGAAAGTGAAAGGGGCAAAATGTTAACAATTGTTGTATCTAGGTAGAGTATATTTGACTGCAAAATATGGGCCAGGACACTTACCTCCAGGGTGGTGGAAGAATACATGAAGTCTCTTTGGCCCCTTTTAAAACAGATAAAATACTTTTCTTACTAATCATTCATATTTGTATATTTATATTTTCCCCTAGAGTTACAAAGCAAGAAGAAATTTGGAAGCTATGGTAAGTACCAGGTGCTTATTGGAACTTTACCTTTCACAGGTCCAGGTCTGGCTTCATTTAGCCTGTAGCCCAAGCATCTGGCAGATTTATCCTTTTGGTCTGATGATATATATTGGCCGAACCATAGACGCTAGAGCAGAACCTAGAAGAAACCGACACAGAATAGGGGGAAATCATAGACCTGAGAAAGATCTGTGAGCAAAGATTTTTAGTAAAACTTTACATATGAAAAAGCAAAAAATCCAGGTATAACCTAAATGGCTAACAATTCCTTCATTCAGCAAATATTACTGAGTGCTTACAATGGTCCAGGCCCTGTGACAGGTGCTGGGGACCAAGATGTGAACAAAATCAGACATGCCCCATGTCCTCCCAGCATACCCCCTAGTGGTAGTTGGTTAAATGAATGACAGAACACTCATTCTGGAATGTTACACTGCCATTATGAAGAAAGTTTGCAAAGAAAAATTAATAAAACAGCCTAGACATGTCATAATAGCAAGTTAAAGCAGAATGCAAAATTGTATTCATAGTATTAACTGTGTCATATAAATCCTCCACAACCCACAACTCAAAAATAGCAATTGTCACCCTTGTAGCCCATTACTTTCACCTTTGTTTTTTTTCTATTCTCAACACAGCTAATACATAGAATAAACTATTGGGAAATAAAGAGAAGAGTATTGATAGCTGTTATTTCTAGGTTGTGTGGGATTATGAGTATTTTTGCTTTCTTCTTATGATTTTCTATATTTTTCAAGATTCCTACAATAAACATGAATAAACAGGAAATAAGTCAATTAAAACTTAAACACTCACAGACACGCATAGAGCTTCTCTTCCAGCAGTCATTTGTTTTCTCTTTCCCCTTGCCTTTGGTGTCTCCAGCGTAGGGCGTGCAGGCCTCCACCAGGGCAGCACAGGCACTGTGACAGATGCTTCAACCGTCACTGCCACATGCCTATGGAGCCTGGTGTCTCCTGCCTGGTGATAAACTGCCACCTGTCCTGCGGTGCTACCTTCCACATGTGCAAAGAGGCAGAGCACGAGCTCCTGTGCCCTTTAGAGCAGGTTCCGTGCCTCAACTCCGAATATGGCTGCCCCCTTTCCATTTCCCGTCACAAGCTGGCCAAGCACCTGCAAGTGTGCCCCGCCAGCGTGGTCTGCTGCTCCATGGAGTGGAACCGCTGGCCAAACATGGACTCTGAAACAGCCCTTCACGAGAACATCATGAAAGAGACCCCCAATGAGGAGTGCTTGGACACAGCCCTGGCCCTCCAAGACCAGAAGGTCCTCTTTAGATCTCTGAAAATGGTAGAACTTTTCCCAGAAACTAGAGAATCCATGGAAGAGGAACCTACCATGAATGGTGAAGCCAGTTGGAAGGAAATGGAAGGAGCGGTGGGTGGGGCAGATGCTGGTTTGGTAACAAGCGGCTCTCTGTCAACCACCAATGGAGAGGTGGCAGAGCTGAGTCCAGAAGAACGAGAGGTATTAGCCAAAACCAAAGAAGGGATGGACCTAGCCAAGTTTGACAAGTGGGAAAATATGTTCAGCAAAGAGCATGCGGCGTCTGCTTTAACGAGCTCATCAGTGAGCAGTGAGAGCAAGAGCAGGGATGGCCCAGAGAAAGAACAGATTTCCAGCAGCAACAACATGGTAGAAAAGAGCGCTGCCAAAGGGAAGGAAACACAGGAAGACCAGAAGCAGCAGGACTTTCATGAAGCCATAGAAAAGTCAGGGCTTGCCCCTTGGCAGGATGGTGTTCTGGAAAGACTGAAAACAGCCATGGATGCAAAGGACTATAATATGTACCTGGTGCACAATGGGAGGATGCTTATTCACTTTGGTCAGATGCCTGCTTGTACACCTAAAGAGAGAGACTTTGTTTATGGCAAACTCGAGGCTCAGGAAGTGAAGACTGTTTACACCTTCAAAGTTCCCATGAGCTACTGTGGGAAGCGGGCTCACCTCAGAGACACCTTGTTGAGTAGTAGGCCAAGTGAACACAAGGCAGTAGATACTTTGGATTTAGGGATCACTGTGGAGGACCTCCCCAAATCAGATCTCATCAAGACCACCCTGCTGTGTGCTCTGGAAAGAGAACTCAAAGGTCATGTCATCTCTGAGTCCAGGAGCATTGATGGGCTGTTCATGGATTTTGCTACACAGACATACAGTTTTGAGCCAGAACAATTTTCCTCCAGGACGGTGCTGGCTGACCTTCTAACCACTGCTAATCTGAATGGGCTCCATATGGAGCTCCACAGTGAGTGTGTGACCAGGAGACACAACAAGAGCAGTTCTGCCTTTACTTTCACTTGCAACAAATTCTTCAGGAGGGATGAATTTCCCCTACATTTCAAGAATGTCCACACAGACATTCAGTCATGTCTCAATGGTTGGTTCCAGCACCGATGCCCCCTTGCCTACTTGGGATGTACCTTTATTCAAAACCATTTCTGTCCCCCAGGGAAAAAGGCAAAAGTAATCTATAGTCAGGAGCTCAAGACCTTTGCCATCAAGCCGGAGGTTGCTTCAGAGCTGAGTGAGGGAGGGAACAACCATCTCTCAGGCCGTGAAGGAAAAACCCAGAATTCTCTAACCAGCCTGCCCCTGGAGGTTTTGCAGTACATTGCTGGGTTCTTAGACAGCATCAGCCTAGCCCAGCTCTCCCAGGTGTCCGTGCTGACGAGGAATATCTGTGCCACTTTGTTACAAGAGAGAGGGATGGTCCTCCTGCAGTGGAAGAAGAAGAGGTATTCCCATGGAGGCACCTCGTGGAGAGTTCACAGAAAGGCAAGTAAATAGTCATTCACTTATTCATTCATTCAATAAGTATTTACTAAGGGCCTTCTGTGCACCAAGCCGTGTGCTAGGCACTGAGATTGTACTAGGTTACCGGGAATAAAACACAGTCTATGAACTCAAGGAGGTCAGCATAGTAGAGGAGACAGACCCATAAATATAAAAATGGCAATACAAATGGTAATGCCTATTTATGTATGTGTCCTGCATGTCTTCCGTTTGCTCACACGATCCATTCTCCATCGTGATCTGTCCCCCAGGAGGCTGATCTTTACAGACTAGCTTAACCAGCTCCCCTGCCCTCCAGCTTCCAGTTGGGCTAATCTAACGGGAGTGTATCAGCAGGAGATGGTCAGGAGGGAGAAGAGTGAGGTTGACATGGCTATTCTTCTGGCTTCCTTCCTGCATGCATTCTCCCCTCCATGACATTTTGCACTGGCCATGTCCCTCCAACTGTATCTGATATCTGATAGGTTACCGATTCTGGGTTCCATTGACTTCCTTCCTCCCTTTCAGGCCCAGGGTAGTAACACTCTAGATTGTTACTAGCCTGGGTTTTCTATACCCTGCCCACACATTTGTATATCATTCCTTTATAAAATTCTCTTCAGATTACCCAGTTTGAGTGTGCCATCTGTTTTCTGCCTGGACTCCAACTGATACAATATGCCAACAAATTCTCCTCAGCCCTATGTCAACTAATTTATTTACAAACAAGTTTTGCCCCTGTTGAATTCATTTTGAAATTCTAAAATAATTTGGTCCACTGATTTCCCCTGGTTCAAATGCTTATTTAATTTTTTTTTAAAAACTCTGCTGTATAGATCAAAGAATCTTTCCCTTTGGAAAAACCTCATCCCCCTTTCCCAATCAGGTTAGGCTTGCTTAACTGTATAAGTTCTATTGGCTTGTACTCTATAGAAGTGAAACTCCCAATTCGTCATATCCAAGGTGCCATAGCACCATAGCATCCTTTCTTATGGTACATATATTGGTAATGTGAATCACAAATTTATGATGCCCATTTAGGTCAATAATTCCAAAATCTCACTGTTGAGTCTCTTCCCAGTATGTGGGTATATGCAAACTGGTATTGGGGAGTTAGGAGATGTTTACATCTATTTTTATTATGTCTAAAACATCTTGCATATTTTCTATTATTTATTCCCTGAGCAGTCTTCTTCAAAAAATAATTATCAGACTCTCCCTCATGAATTCATGCTTGAATCCATGCCTGCAATCCATGTGTTAGGTAATGACTGCCAACCAACCATGTGTTAGGCATAAACGTGAATAAGACTAAGACCCTGCCTTTGGGAATTGTATTGCCAAGATACAATGTATCATTTAGAACTACCTAATATCTTCCTCTGTAAAATCAAATGCAAATAATTTAAGTTACATACTAGAAATTTCATTATTTTTTGGCTCACATTTTTTCCCAATTCAGTGATTGCTGACCACTCTTAAATATCATTTGGGACAAACTAATTTCCTTGCAGAAAGGAAGAAAGAGAGTTTAGTTGGAACTAAAGAATGCTTATATTAAAATGGCCTTTTAAAGTACAAAGGGAAATAGTTCCAAGATCACAGGATACACTTTTCTTATATAGTAACAATGACAAGAAACTGAGGGTGAAATGATCAGGTTGAAGGATATCAGATTATGCCTATCCTCATAGGCAGATTTTAAAACTAGTGGCTTTGCCACCACATCCTAGGTGGAAAGGCCCACAGGGATTTGAGTGCCAGACTTCTAGATTTCTCCTAAGGTTTCTGTTCTACTGAGACTCTTATTAGTTAACATACTAATTTAGTTTTAGTTTTAAGCAATAGAAAACCAACTTAACATGAAAAACAATAAAGGGAATTTATTGGCCCATATAACTGAAGAGTGCAAAGGTGATGGCTTCAGGTATGGCTTGATCTAGCAGCTCAAAATGCCCCCAAATGACCTTTTTACTCTCTATTTCTTATCTCTACTTCCTCGCTTGTGGCTCCACTCTAAGACACAGTTCTCCCTTCGTGGTCCCTGGTGGCTGCCAGAAGCTCCTAAGACTGTAGCTTCCAAGTTCAAGCACAGAGGGGAAAAGAGAATCTGCTTCTTGGTATCACAAACAAAGTTTCTGGAGTAGAGTCTCATTGGCACTGGTTGTCCTGATTTGAACCATATGTCTATTCTAGAACTAACCACTGTTCCTGGGGAGGTGGGGGATGGGGGAAGGGTATATGTCAATAAGCAGGTTGGTGTTAGTCATTTCCAATCAACACATGGCTGGCTGGGATGATTATCAGTTGCAAGGGGGAACTAGGAATTGGATGCTGGAGAAAGGACTAACAAATGTATGCTGCGGCCACTAAATGCTCTCAGGAATCTAAGAACAGAAAGGCATTTCCCCACACTGTTCAAACAAAGCTGGCCTGAGGGTAACACCCCAGTGTTTACTTTGGAACTTCTCTCTTTCCTCATAGATCTGGCAATTCAGCAGCCTCTTCTCCAAAGTCAAGGGCTGGGAGTTTAATGAAGTTGCCTCCATGTCTGAGCACCTGAAGTCCTGTCCTTTCAACGTTGTAGAACACAAGACTGACCCGATTCTTTTGACCAGCATGTGTCAGCCCCGTGAGCAGGCCTCAGAGACTTTAGTCACCACCTTTAATGCCAGACCAAGAGGAAGACACACCTACTGAAGGCTCAGAAGCCACCCTTCTTGGATTCCCACTCAGGGTTACTGAAAGTTCGACAGAGTTTGGTTTTGAGGACTTCCTTCTGTAAACTGCAAATGTGCTTATCTGGGTGTTTTGGAACATGCAATGTCCTTCAAAACCTGAGCAGCTGCACAAGGCCGAAGAATTTCCTAAGCCATGGCTTGTATAACTGCTATAGTGCCATACTGATAACTTATTTCCTCCCTCCCCCCACACTCTTTTTCTAAAATAAATCAGTCTGTGAAGTATTTTAAATAGGTGACTTGAGGCCATTTGGAAGATGAGATGAGAGAGCCGTGAAATTCCATAACCAGCACAGGCCTGTGCTTTTGTGGAGAGCTTTTCAGTTTATAAGCACTTGTAATGATATGGAGCAGGCAATGTAGGGATGGGGACTGACATGCCTCCCAGGGCACCCAGGGTGAAGGGCACAGTTTGAAGTTTCTGGAGCTGGGGTTGTCCTGACAGCCAAGTCCAGGGCTTTTTTTAGTTGCCCCACTGCCTCTAAGCCCAGACAGTCCAAACAGCCCGAAAGAATAGAGACCTAGGCTAAGCACAACAGCCTCGAGGACACCAAAGGCCAAAGGATGAGAGGTAGAAATGAGGTCCTAGAATGAGATTGTTGTGTAGAATCTTGGCAACATATAGAAGGACAGCCTTGAAAAATGAAGAAGAATCCAGAGGAGATATTATATTTATGGAGAAAATTAGGACCAAAAGCCAGAGCCTACTTTCAAACATTTTAATAGTGGCTTGAGAGTCAAGGTTCTTTTCCTCTGAAAATTATATTCTCAGTCTGGATTAGGGAGAGCACAGGCACGGGCCAGCACCACCCTGGGCTAAGTGAAATGATCACAAGACACTAACACCAACTTCAGTGTCATGTCAGAATGCACAGGGTAGCCCAAGGAGACCTCGCATTTGGAAAAGTCCAGACGAGGCCCACTGCAGCTCCTGTGGTACCAGTCGCCAGGTCCTAGACATCACTTGAGTACCCCATCGGGATTCTTGAGAAGGAAGACATCTGAACCTAGTGATTCCCTATAATTGCTCCTACCTATTGCTGGCCATGACTGCATTCTGTCAAAAGTGCGTGACACTTCTGGGTTTTGGTAACAAATAGTTAAAACTTATGAGAACACAAGTAAGATAAAACTACACAATAGAAGCTGGCATCCCTTAAAGCAGGGTTTCATGGAACTACTGACATTTTAGACTGGATAATTCTTTGTCATAAGGGACTGCCCTATGTGTTATAGGATGTTTAGCAACACCCTTGACCTCTATCCAATAGATACTAGTAGCACCGCTACAGCTATAACAACCAAAAATGTCTCCAGACATTGCTAAAAATCCTCTGGGAGCAAGATCGCTCCTGGTTGAGAACAACTGCCCTAAAGAACGACATGCTGATGGCAGTAAATTAGGATAAGCTTTTTAGTACAGCAAATTCTTATCTCACATAGTTATCTACAATGGTCATGATTTCATGCAGCTCTTCTTTCTTTACCAAATAGGTTTTAGACACATGATGATTTTAAGTTGGGAACCAAATGGAGATGGTTTGCTTGGTGTGGCTTCACGTCCCTGGGTCACAGTGCAAAAAGTATATCCTATCAGCTCTCCAGGTATAGCTGAAGCCAGGAAGGCTAAGCTATTTATCTTAACCCTAACCCTAACCCTCACCCTAGCCCTAGCCCTAACCCTAACCCTCTCTCTTTAATTGATGCCATTTTCCTAGCAGTCCTCAGCAAGTGAGAAAGAAGGGAAAAGGAGGATGGGCATTGTGGGGGAGCAGAGAACAAAGAATTTAACCAACAACAACAATAAACAGTCTAGTCAATATGAATGTTTGTTATTGCCTGGGTTCCCCTCTGAACATGGTTCAGAGCTGGTATAGATGAAGTAGATGACACCCCTGAGAAGAGTCAAGAAGGCATTAAAGCAAATCCCAGAGTAGAAGTATGCTCATCTTCCATTATAATGTGCCACTTGGTACTACTGAGTAACGTAACTCTATTTTTCCTAATCCTTATTGTTTGGTTTATATTTCACATTTGTATATAAGGTGCCATTTTCTAAAAAATATAACTAGAACATGAGCTAAGATTTTATTCAGTGAAGATGAATAACTGCGACAGCTAAGCAGTGAAGTGGGAGAAAAGGAACTGATCCAGGGTTCAGTTCCATGTGTTTTGAATCTAGTCCTTCCTATATGGAGGAAGAAAGTTCTGAAAATCCATTTTGGGTTTCTTATTTTATTAGAAAAAGAAAGCAAGGGGAGCTGTAGACTAAGGGAGGTGAAAATCCGGGGCTAACATGAGCTGCAAGAGAAGTATAGAGAAAGGAAGAGAGCAGAGGGCTCTTCCTTGACATTCTGGGCAGCCCAGGGTGCAGGAGGGCATTCAGGAGACTAACCGCACTGCTCTGTGGGCCCCACCCTTCCAGGCACGCTTTACTTTCCCAGCTGCTGCCTTCAGCACAATACTGAGCTGATCAACATCATCAAACACATTTTACAAGGTATCTAATTGTATATGTCGCAGGAAACCAGAGTATTGCAGGTATCCGCTGGCCTACACAATCAAGCACATCTTATGGTGAGAGGGCAACTGGAGAAAAAGGGAAGCCTTTTAGAGAGATGGTGGATTAGACAGATGATTTGATTAGTGGGATGAAGCTGTAGTGAGCAGCGTGAGCAGCAAGCATCACCTGAGAGAGGCAAGACAGCTAGACACGGCTTCAGATTAAGAAGCAGCTAAGGAGAGTGAAAGGGGACTGTGGACCCAAGAATAGGAGCCTGGACAGGGAGGTGTCTGCGAGCAGAGCCCTTGAAGAGAATCACCGCCAAGAAAGTCAGTCCAAGTAGAGATCAGCCAAATGTGGAGGGCGAGGTCTATAGAACTGAGGCAGAAAGGACTTTATTGCCTTAATAATATAAGGATCTGGAAAAGAAGTTTCTGTCTTATAATGAAGGGAAAAGTGAAAAGCAAGGTGGAACTTGGATGTAAGAATAAAACCACTGCAAAAGTCTGATCTATGTGTGATGTCAGATCAAACTGAAGTGAAGAATGAGATTGTGTATATCTAGTATGACTTACCTCTATGCACTGGAAACCCCAATGTCTCTATAGGCAGAAATAAAAGCTGCTTTTCACTCTGAAAGTCTAACTGGGTGAATCTTATAAGTGAGGTGTAGAGACAGATGTGTGATTCACTGGCATAGAAGTCGCTGTGGAAACAAAGGAGTGTGTGTCTTGAAGAAAAGCCAAGGAATGAGCCTGAGGGATGCAGTGCTCTAAGCACATGGACAGCTCACCACTGAACTTTTAAGGACTTTTATAAAGTCCTGCAGCAACTATGGGTCTCAGACACCAATCCTAGCTCTTCCTTGATCCCACTGTCTTCTCCATCTTTGAAAGCTGAATCCAACTTCAGATACCGGTTATAGCACAGACTTCTATTTTCCACCAATCAAAGATCCCCTATACCAAATCCCTGACTTTCATTTCGATTTGATTTTGGTTTTGCCTAGGATCTCCTATTCTGGACCTTGCCAAGCCCAATGGCCTGGGGGTTAGAATAAACTCACCGTGTCCTGGCCTTTCATTCTCCCTCATCCCCATACTTTGCTTGGTGATTTGCTTTTTGCCTATCACTGGCCGTCCAAAGGTCCTCACTTCTTCTCCTATCAGCAGCCTCAGCTCTGGACCACACAGAAACTTTATGAGCTTCCTCAATCTACCTTCTTACATGACCATCGATTTCATTCATCCAGCTACAAGGAAGCCTAGACTTTCTCTAGCAGAGGCCACTCTCACTCTAAATCCTCTTAACACCTCATTGTTTCTTTAGTTTTAGTCTTTTTCTCTTGGCTAAATCTTTTCCTCCTTTCTTTCCCCTAATTTGTGCTTTTGCCTCAAGAATCATTATGCACGAAAAGAGTGTAGTCATTACTCCCAGGCAGAAAGCAGCTGGCCTCTCACAACTGCTGAAGCCAGCAGAAGTTGAACTGTCTTATCATGGACCCTTCCTGGCCCCTGTTCCCCTACCTTACTGCCATTCCCCAGGCCCATCTTGTTTTGGACTGGGTATCAGTAGAGTCTAAGGAAAGGGCACGGCCCTTGACATCCAGGGTGCAGAGTGATGGGCAGTGGAGGAGGGAGTTTTCTGGATATCCCTGAAAGATGGGAGGAGAATTGGAGCCATGAGAGTCAGGACCATTGAGGGCTGCATTAAAAAGTACTATTTACCTCAGAATAGAGGTGAGTCATGGTCCCGCTTTATTTCCACTTTAGGACTGAGCAGAGAAAAGATTCAGAGATATTTCTGCAGAGAAGGAAAGTGAGCAAACAGCACAACCAGGAAATATAAACATACCTTCCCAGGTAAGCAAACTAGGAAGCTCAGAGTTCACAAACAAAGGAAGATAGAGTGGGGGGTGGGTGGGTGTCAGAGGGGGGATTCATGGGGAAGGAGGCAGGACACAAGATAAACATCCCTGAGATCATCTAGGGTATCCAGGATAGACAGGACACCGAGGAGAAGGAGACCTCCTTCCTCATGCTGTCTCTGCCCCAAACCCTAATGGAGAGGGAGAGACAAGTCTGTCTAGAGGTTCAGGCAAGTCATGACATCCTGTCAGACACTTGCAGCAGAAATGGAAAGCGGGTGGAGGCAGAGCCACTTGGGACAAGGGAAGTCACAGTGCAGAAGACAGACAGCCACAGTTACTGGAGGAGCGTGACATAATTTGCAGGGAAGAGTCCAAAGTGGCCGTGGCAACGTCCCCGCCACCAGCCCTCATCCACCATCTCAATGTCAGTGATGATGTCATCTGGGTCAAAGGAAATCTCATCACTTCCCTCTGGGGAGAAAATTGACAGGATATTAGGATGGTCAGGCAGGAATCCCTCCACCCTTGTGTCCCCTTTAAACCTCAGGAAGGGAAATAGGCCTGTTCTTGATACCAAGTCTGGGCCCTATCCTGACCCCCAGAATCCATCCCCGTTCTCATGTATCAAGGGCCTCCAGGCACCAGACCCCTCAGGCCGCTCCCAACCTACCTCCTTGGTAATCATACAGGGCTACAGCTGAGATCCCAGCCCCAGCCCCAGCCGGGCAGCCTGATGATCCTGCATAATGAGAAATATGAATATGGTCTCATCAACATGGAGAAGGAAAACAGACAGGTCCTTCTGTGTAATGGGGGAATTCTCCCTCTTCCTCTCCCCTACAGCTGACCAAATCCAGGAGCTGCCCCACCACTCACCAGCCAGAGTGGAGGAAAAAGAGGGATCCTCAGGCTCGAGCACATCTTCATAGTCGCCCTCTGGTTCCTCATCTGGCTCATGTCTGTCCATTTCCCCAACATCCTCATAGTCATTCTCTGGTTCAGGCTCGGGCTCGGGCTCAGGCTCAGGCGCTTCTTCATACACTGGCTCTTCCTCCATCTGGAAGCCTTCTGGAGTCCTGGGGGGCAGAGCTGGGGGCTCCTCATTGTCCTGAGAAGAGACAGTGTGAAGCAGGGTGACATCTGTTCACCAGGAGCTGCCTCTCCAAAATCTCCCAATGGAGGACTGCTAAGACCCCACCCATC